ATCGCGAAAATATGTGCGAGGGTGCATTAAAGCCTTGGGCACGCAAACATTTTGGCCGCAGACCTTTTACATTCCAACAGGACAATTGCTCTCAGCACACGCCATCTAAGAATGGTTACAAAATGAGGTTCCTCGCTTCATTTCAAGCGCACAATGGCCACCAAAATCTCCGGATACCAATCCGTTGGACTTTTGTGTCTGGAGTATTTTGGAAAGCAAGGTTGGCACTAAAAAATACCAAAGTGTCGATTATCTCAAGCAAGCGTTTCGCCGGGAATGGGCCAAAATACCGCAGAGCAACATTCCGGCTGCGTGTGACGGCTGTTTGAAGGCCATAATTCGTGCCAAAGTTGACCAATTCGAGCAAACCTAAACTTATTCTAAAATTCTATGCTATTTCCGACATTTTTTGCTTTCATTCAATAAAACTATAAAAAAATGTAAAAATTATGGCTTCTGACTTTGTTGCAGTTTTGTTTAATCTCACCCTGTATATATTAAGGATATTGAGGTCTCTGTTGGTATATGGGATTGAGAATTGGCGGTGGCTTGCAATGCGTGGTTTATTTGTACGAAAAGGTACTAAATTGGATATTTGGTGAAGAGATATGGCTTGAATTATCAAATTTAATATTGAGGTCACTGTTAGCTTCTGTGGTGACGTTAAAATAGTTTTGGGCAGACAAGTTGGTTGTGGGTCCATTGTGCAATGTTTTTATTAATATCCTCCTCGGTAAACTCCAACATGAAAGATTTTGAAGACTATTTGAAGAAATGAAAGGTAAATATTTTAATATTATTCTTTCCGAAAAATGAAAAAACTTGAATAATATAAAAAAACTTAAAAGTCTGAAAATTTAGTACAATGTATGAAATTTTTATAAAAAAAAAAAATATTTTGTCAAACTGAATAAATTGTGCATTTTAAGTACAAGAAAAAGTCTAACACGAACTTTATGAACGAATTTAGTAAGTAAAGGAGGACTTTTCTTTGATGAAGTAGCGAGCACTTGCTAGTATTACAGATAAAAACACGGCGATTGAACATTTTAATGCTCAAGCGAGTAACCAAATGGGTCGTTTTGGTCTTTTTTTCAAAAAATGAGATCCAAGAAATTCAAAATCTTCTACAAATAAAATTCTACTATGGGTCCTAGAAGAAGTCAAAAGTCTAAATATTACCCAAAACGACAGCAAGCCAACTAACATAGAGTATATATAAGTTTATGCAAAAATCTGCCACAAAGCTTTATTTTAAGGACAAAGATATGCAAGTCACTAAAGACAATAAATCTCTATTTCCATTGTGTATCAAAGAAATATTTGCATCAACGTTTCCAATAAAAACCCCAAACTAGTTGCTAATTTTTATAGTGAATTTTCCTATGAACTTTTTTTAGTTGACGCCTAAAAAGTTTAAACAATGCCTGATTACAAAGGTGGGAGAATTGTCGGAGTAGCCAAATTGGGAGAACATAAATTTATGTGTAATCTAGTCGTTAAAAATATTTACATGATGTCACACTTTCCGTATACTGTAATAACTAAGTTTTATAGGGGATCAACTAGTCAACCTGGCTGCTCCTTACATTTTATTGTTTACTCAATTGAATGGACCTGTTATTTTGACACACTAAACGTTTTTTAACGCAAATTAATGGGCTTAGTTTTTTTTTTCCGAAATATAGAACCAAAAAGACAAAGAAAAGCAAAAAAATAACAGTATTGGCTTAGCGACAAATAACCCTTTTCAACAATTTAATGGTAAACGACCAAAACGCAAATAATCACCATCACACTTAAAAATTCAAAACACATTTTCCGGCTAACCGGTCCAAAACGAAGAAAACCAGCCTGCACCAACAAATGGGTTTTCTAAAATAACGAAACGCCAAAAAAAAAAACTCATTAACAATATTCGAAGAAATTTTAACAAAATGTTTTTGGAAAATATCTTCGCCTCAATTATGTTAACGAGCTGGTGTAGACGAGAAAAAATCAAAGCATACCTTAAGGCTGCCAAATGTTACCATCACTCTCTCCATCACCAAAGCCATACATTTCTTGGTAATTTGTTAATGAAACCCGCCGCCAGCTTTTCATCAATCATTAAGAATTTTTCGTAGCAAATTGGGTTATGTCCAACCATCATCCACTTCTCCGTGTGCTATTTCATGCTCATTACTTGGTTTCAAACAAAGAAAAATTGGGGACCGCTTATTAACCCTTTCTTTCAATCTGCCCTGCATGTTTTCTTTCCAGAAATCACAAAGACATCAATCGTTGCTTGTTACCCCAGACCAACGACCGATCGACCGACCGACCACCTACACTCAATTAACGTGTTCCAGGTGGTTGTAATAACAAATAGTGGCAAAGCCATGGAGTTTGGTAACGTACGAAGTGCATTCGTTGAAAGCTACTGTCATAGAGTTTCCAAAGCATTGGTAGGAACACTGAAGTGATGATATGGTTTTAATACGTAACGTATGACTTCGGTACCCGTTCCCAAGTCATTATGGATGACATTTTCGGATGATTACATGTGATGTAAAAGGATTGGGAGCCATTGATGGGACAACGATACTGTTACTCAGTTATTGCCATCGTCGTCCTCGTCGTCGTTGTTGTTGTTGCAAATGCTGTTGCTGCTGCTGCTGATGACGATGATGACACTAACAAGCCTTGTTATGCTTGTAAAAGATGCATGTGTCAAGTGATAAACGTGACATGACAATAACAACCAACTAACCCAACCCAACCAAACCACACAACACCATACCGCAACGTACAATACGTACAAACCGCTTCCCAACCAGAAGCTCTGTGAGATTTGTACGTAATAAAATACACAATGCTCGCATAACTAAAATCTCGTCCCTGTTTTTGACCTTTTCGAGCTGAGTCCGTTCACATATTGTTAATTTTTTGTTGGGGGAATGTCCATGTGGACTAAGTGCAGAAATGGAAAGAATGCTTTAATGGGAGATGAGCTCTTCGCAACTTAATAAAAAATATTAGAAGCAAATTACACTACAACCTATGATGGGAAATTTTGCACATGTCTTTCGAAATTCTAAGCCATCATGACATTGGGCCTAGAGGTAATTTCAAGCGCAGTGGGGCAGTAAAAAGCTGTCTTTAATTTGCAATAATCTACCCAAAGTTGGGAAAGGCATTCTGCTCATATGGACCCTCAATTTCCCGATAAGAAAACTTCTTAAAATGCTGCGCGTAAAGATAGATTTTCTTACTGCTCGTCGAAATGCTTTTTTATGCCTCATCTTCTGGACGTTATCAATACTCCCCGAGGAGAAAGGGTCTTACAATGTCCTCTAGAATTTGTGCTAGTAGTAAATGCCTTGTAAATGACCTCATAACTCTTCATGTTAATTGATTCAGACCTACTCTTATAGGTGGACTGTAAAGCCTACTTCCCATAGAATTACTTGGCATTACTGAAATGATTTCTGAAATATCCTTAATAGAAGGCCTCAGAGGTCTTCCTATAAATGACCCAAAAAATCTTCTTATAGAATGTCTGAAATGGTCTTGTATGGTTTTTTAACAGTTTTTTAAGGTCTTTTTATTATACAATCCACCATAGTATGGAGGGTATATTAAATTTGTCATTCCGTATGTAACACCTCGAAACATAGATGTTAAATCCTAAAATCTTTAGATAATGGTCCTTTTAAAGGCCTTTATAGAAGACCTCAGAGGTCTTCCTATAAATGACCCAAAAAATCTTCATGTAGAAAGTCTGAAATAGTCTTGTATGTTTTTTAAACAGTTTTTAAGGTCTTTTTATTATACAATCCACCATAGTATGGAGGGTATATTAAATTTGTCATTCCGTATTTAACACCTCGAAACATAGATTTTAAATCCTACAAAGTATGTGTATTCTTGATCAGCATAATATTATATGTCGATTTAGCGATGTCCGTTCATCTGTCTGTCCGTAAGTGGAAATCACTCTATCTTTGGAAAGTAATGAAGTATATAGACAGAATTTTACTCAGATATGTGCAAGGTCTGCGAGACTTTTGGTATTGAAAATGGGTTATATAGGTCCACGTTTTGGTATAGGACTCATATAACTATACCGACAGATTTAAGGTTTTTTGGGTGTTTTAGTCACATTTTTAACCTGAATTTGCTGTAAATTGGTAGAATTTGTCCCCATTATGTGAGAAACAACCTTGCAAAGAACTGTCAATATAGGTCTATGATTTGGTATAGTGGTGTTAAAAATGCGTCCTATATTTTTGCAAAAAATACTATATGATACTACATTTGGTATTGAGGTAAATAATACTTAGTTTGGTATTGGGTAAAGGAATAAGGCTGAAATCCCAAAGTTGCTTATTTAGGTCTCTATTGGTGTCAGCGGTTGAGATATGAAGGTGGTTTTGGAAATGCGTCCTATATTTGTACAAAAAATACTGAATGATACTAAATTTGGTATTGGGTGAAGGAATAAGGCTGGAATCCCGAAATTTGTTATTTAGGTATCTGTTGGTGTCTGCGGTTGAGTTATGAAGTTGGTTCTGGAAATGCGTCCTATATTTGTATAAAAACTACGACATTATACTGACTTTTGTATTGGGTAAAGGCATAAGGCTGGAATCAGAATATTTATATATATATATATATTTTTTATAAAGTCTTTGTTGGTGTCTGCGGTTGAGATATGAAGGTGGTTTTGGAAATACATCGGCGACCTGACTTAACGCCCAACGGACATAAAGCCAAAAATTGATTTTGGGCGTCATGTCTGCCCAAACCCCGGACATAACCCCCAAAATCAAATTGGGCGTTGTGTCCCCCGATGCTGCGGACATAATGCCCAAAAATAATAGGACATAACGCCAAATTTTATGTCCGCATACGAAATGGACATAACGGCCAAAAAATATTTTGGGTTTTTTTTTTCAAAATTTAATGAATTAAATGTAATATTTTGGGAACTAGGTATGTTGTAATGCAGAACTGGTTTCAAAATAACGGTATATTAGCTATTAAGAATGAGTTGTAAAAGATCAGTTGTTGATGCGTAAAATAGCAATCATCATTCAGTTGTTTCCAAACTAATGATAAGAATGGGTGAAATTGTTGAATTTGAGTTTGTTGTAGGCGCTCGCCGCAATTGTGAGTTAGTGTATACGCCGACGAAAAAACAATTGTACAAATTTAAAACTCAATACACCAATAAAAAAGGAGATTGCATAAGGCTATACATTTGTTATCAAAATAATTGCAAAGCATTTCTTCAAGTTATTAACAGAGAAGTAGCAATTTCACCAAAAGAAAATAATGGACACTTTGACCATGGCGACCAGGAAAGCCTAATGAAACAATTTAAATTAAAAGCTGCAATAAAAGAAGGTGTTTCCAAACCGAGCTTGGTAGCAAACAAAGTTCGAGTTGTTTTTAACGCTGAATGCAGAAATGCTAAGGATAGTGCTGATCAAATTGTCTTTAACAAAATGCAGAGGCACTTGAGGCGGATAAAGAGCCAAGCTATGCCGAAATCTCCACAAACTCCTCAGGAATTTATAAACCTATTTGCAAACAGCGAACACATGAAGCAATACGGCATGTGTGAGAGCGCGCCGGACGAACCATTTTATCAAACAACTATCCTTGAAACAGACTTTAGCTACACCCTATTCTGCTCCTTACCAATGACGAAATTAATTTCTACAATGGATGATGACTCTCGTCACTATCTTGTCGATGCTACATTTGCAGTTGTGCCATCAAGCGGTTACAAACAATTACTTCTTATATACATCGGGTATGAGCGCCACGTAAGTTGTTGAGTTAGATGTTATTATGTGTATAAAATGTATTCCTTATTTTAAATTAGAAATTGAGTAATGAATCAAGCCGAAAGATGTTGAAAGCTATTGATCAATAGTCATAGACGGTGGATTTATATAAGAAAATCGCGCGATTTTCTTATATAAATCCACCGTCTATGACTATTGATCAATAGCTTTCAACATCTTTCGGCTTGATTTATTACTCAATTTCTAATTTAAAATAAGGCATACATTTTCCGTATGGGTACATTCAGAACCGAGTTTTGCAGGTATTCCCTTTTGCATATATACTTATGTCGAAGAAAACCCAGAAATCCTACGAACACGTTCTGCGGTTCATAGACGCAAATGTGTTTCGCCTTAAACCCGCCTCTTTTACCACAGACTTTGAGAAGGCCCTACGAAGTGGAATATTAAAGGTATATCCTGAGGTGCAACTAAAGGGATGCTGGTTCCATTACTGCCAAGCATTAAGAGGAAAATTAACCAACATCTCAGAATTGGCTAAATTTGTCAAAACCACTGATGCGGCAAGGCGAATTTTTAAAAAGATGCTTGTTTTACCACTGCTTCCTCCAGACGATATACCAACCGCATTCAATTTGTGCAAACAAGAAGCGTACGCATCCATGAACTGTTATTACAAATCAGAGAATGTATTTGAGAAATTCTTCGACTATTTTCAAAGACAATGGATAGATTTAGTGAGTACATACATATATATTCAGAAAATTTTAAATATGTATATATATTTCCATAGGAAAGTCCACTCAAATTTTCTGTCCATGGTGAATGCGTACGAACTACGAGCGCTGTGGAATCATATAACAGCTTTTTGTGTGCACAAATTCCAATGCATGGCTCATTCTGGGACTTTTTACAAATAATTAGACAGCAAGAGTTTCAGAAATATGTTGATCTGAAACAGATTTTAGATGGCGTTTCGGAAATTTCACAACCACCAAAAAAAACGAAATAGAGACCGCAATGAGTAAGTGAAAATTCTCACAGAGCAACTGGCAAATAAACAGATTACTCCCAAAATGTTCCTCCAGATGATGACCAATAAAATAAATAATCTCGCCCCAGTAGTTTTGGACCGAACACCTATTGATGAAAGCGAAACTGAGGATGAAAGTCAACCTATCCTTCAGGATGGGTTGTTATGTGAAATATGTTTTAAAAACAAAAAATGTATGCTTCTGCTTCCATGTAGGCATGCAAAACTTTGTAAACCTTGTTTTGAAGGAATACAAGATAAACATAATAATCAAGGTACTTTAATATTATGTCCATTCTGTAGACAAATTGTGGGTCAAACACAAGAAATTTATATTTGATTTGAATAAACTTCTAATTTCTACAATTGAACTGCAAAAATGTTACTTTAAATAAAAACGGACATAATGCCCAGTGGGCATTATGTCCGCAGCATTGGGGGACATAATGCCCAATTTCATTTTGGGGTTTATGTCCGGGATTTGGGCGGACATAACGCCCAAAATCAATTTTTGGCTTTATGTCCGTTGGGCGTTAAGTCAGGTCGCCAAATACATCTTATATTTGTACAAATATACTAAATGATACAAAATTTAGTATTCTGTAAAGATATGGCAAACATTTGTTATTTAGGTCTCTGCTGGTGGCTGCGGGTGAGATATGAAGATGATTTTGGAAATGCGTCCAATATTTGAACAAGAAATACTAAATGACACTAAATTTGGCATTGGGTGAAGGAATGAGGCTGGAATCCCTCTTATAACTGTACCTCCAGATATTCGGTATTTTGATGATCCGTGTCTCCCTATTACCGGATATATTGCAAATTTGGAATTTGCAGTTCCTAGTGGTTCCTAAGGCAGAATTGTTTCAAATTTCGTATTTGAATTGCGTGATATCCTATAACAAAAATTAGATATACAGGTTCGTATGTAACGATAAATCCCCATATTCGGTATTTACATGATTTTGGTAGTACTTTTCAATGGATTGTTTTTAATTTGCAAATTCATTGCAAATGGTAGAGGGTATTCAAACGTCTGATAGAGGGATATTCAGTCCAATATGGACTACTTATATGTGAAGGTCTGAAAAGTTTTCATACAGAAAGAGTTACAATGTGTAAAAAGGGGCTAAGTTAAAACACAGAATATACGTTGGCACATATTGTCTGCCGGAAGAGGCAGAGCCTATATGTGACATAGAATATCATAAGAACTGATATATGTGCACCTGTATAGACAATAATAAGTGTGCGGAACCTATAGCTAACTCTACATAGGAATTTAATCTCTTAAAACATGTGAAGCAAGGTAACTTGGACCAATATTGACAATTGTTTCTAAGGATGTTTTCTACCTAATGGGAAAACAAACTGCCCAAATCCAATTCGAAACCATGACTAAAGCACCGAAAACTCCTTAAATCTAGAGTTACTGTTATATAGGGTTTATATATGACTCAGTTCAATATCCGAAATTCATCTGAGTAAAATGTTATCAACGTAGTTAATTTCGTTTGGAAGATAGAGTGATTTCCACACAGGGAAAGACAGACAGACAGACAGACAGGGAGATAGACGTGTGGACATTGATAAGTGGACATAGAATTTAATAATAAAAATATCAACAATATATATACTTTTTTGTTCTTAAATGTTCATTTCAAGGTTGTAACTCCTTGAAAAAGTTATAGTAGAAAGGGTGAATGAGACAAATGTAAGTATACATATGTAAGACCCATAATTTCTTTCTTTTTCTTAAAGGTTTCTCACTGTTTTTATAAGGCATCATAGGTTTTCGTCGAAAGAACTTATAGGCCTTCTAGTAGAAAATCTCAATGGCTTTCTGCGAGAGTTTCTGAAAGTTCATTTTGTAAAAAAATGTCTTCGATATATTCTTTGACAGTTTTACTTAAAGTTTTTCTTACAGATGAACTGGAAATCATTTGACCAGAAAAGTGTAATTTAAAGCCGTTGAAGGTGATTCTTTGGAAGGCCCGAAAGTCTTCTTAAAGAATTATACAAATGGAGGAAGGCCTTTATTTTATAGAGATTTTTCTGGTAAAATTAAATTAAATTAATTGTTTTAAATTTTCATTTCGAGGTGTTCCCAGTTATAGTAGAAAGACTAAAATGTCTCATAAATTTTCTTTTTCTTTTAGTTTTGAAACTATGTAGATAACTAAGGTACTGAACCATTTTTATAAGGCCTCAATAGTCTTCTTCGAGAGACCTTGAAGATCTTCTTGTAGAAAATTTCTAAATGTTTTGCAGAAACCTCAAAAAACTTCTTCGAAATTTTCTCCGATAGCTGTTCCTGCAGATTTTTTTACAGATGAACTGAAAGGTATTTGAGCAGGAGTTCTTCTTACACAATATAAGCCATCCTTACAGAAGGCCTATAAGGTCTTATTTTAATGCCATTGAAGGAGTTTTTAGAAGGATCGAAGACTTCTTGTAAGTTATTTTTTTTTTAAAAGAAATAAAATATCTCTTATACCAGACCATCAAAATTTACTTATGGCCAATTTGCTCTTTTTGTACTTATACCATTTGCCTTTCTAGCACCAAGCGGTATTCCCACTACACCTTTACATGTAAAATTACTTTGCAAGAATTTGTAACATCCGCACATCGAATCTTTGAACAAAACCCCATTGAAACATTTCCCCAAACTCGCACACTCACACAAAACGGATAAAACACAACATATGCATTTGGTTTTCCAAGAGAATCTCCCACCATTTTTGTGCACGGCCAATGTGGTCAATGTGTGTAACAAGTTCGTAAGGATTTCGTTTCAGAGCTACAAACAAACGGAAACTTCCCACATAGATCCAGAATTCTATCACCTGAACGTCCACCATCACGGCCACCATACCTTGATAAATTCCAAAAAATCATTTCACTTGCAATGTAGTTTTGGAGACAAAACAAAACTACAGTCTCTATAAAATCAAGTTTGGTTTTGAGATGAACGTGATGTCATTATCAAAGAAAAATGAGCATCACAAACGAAGTTGTTTGAAGGCGATGTTCGCAATGAAATGGGTTTTAAATTGTTTTGAATTTTTTAACTGTTAAATTCAATCTTTTTCAAAAACGTGTCCAAACAGCCTGATGAAATATAGAGATTTAGAATTCATGTTGCAAAATAAGCGTGGGATTTGAATAGCAGATTCATCACTACAAGGAATGGAAAACTGTATACAGGGTGAGATAAAAGGTGCAACAAGTCAAATGCCATAATTTTTACATTTTTTTTATACCCTACAACAGTATGTGTTGGGGGTATTATAAGTTTGATTGGGCCAGAATTTATGTAACACCTCGAAATATTGGTTTCCCATATAGGAAAGTATATATGGATCTTCCTAGCTCGCCGAGCTGAGTCGATCTAGCTATGTATGTCCGTCCGTCCGTCTGTCCGTCTGTCCATGTTAATTTGTAATCACTCTACAGGTCGCAATTATGGCCCGATCTTCACGAAATTTAGAATGGAGGTGGGGTTAAGGTCAGAATAGAACCCTATTTCTTTTGAAGATGATCGCATAATATTTAGGGGTTGAAATGGACCAAATACTGAAAAAATGTCGGATTTTGCAGTAGCTATACAGGTCGCAATTATAGATCAATCGACGCGGAATTTCGCATGTAGCTAGAGTTTAGGGCGGGGAAGAAGCCTACCAATTTGGGTTGTCATCGGATAATATCTAGCGGGTAAAATAGACCATATCTTTTGTGTTGAAAAAATTCAAAAAAATTTTCATTAAAAAGGCCGATAAACAACCATTTCTCAAGATAATTAAACCGCGAATATTTTTAATCCCGGCGAAGTCACAAAGCCATGACAAGGTTACTTCTGATCTTTACATTGATGTTAAGATCCAACAAATCGAATATATAGGAAAATATGTGCGATATATATGGCTATCAAAGAAAATATGCTTGAAAAATCTCTTATATGTCGAAAACGGCTGAACTGATTTCGACAGTTCTCATTAATTCTGAATGGCCTCTTGGCAGAAAAGAAAAAACGTCTAAAAATCGCATAAAAATATCTCTCTATAGATGAAAATATTGATTTTGTAAAATTTTCTCATATTTTTTTCGATTTTGTCATATTTTTGACATATTTTCATTTTGAATTAAACATTTGGTAATATTTCTACAGCTAACAAAACTAAGTAGTTAGGATATCAGGATATCATATACAGATCGCATTTATGGTCCGATCCTAACGAAATTTTGCATGGGGATAAGATGAGGGTCAGAATAGAAGCCTACTCTTTTTGGAGATGATCGCCATATATTTATGGGTTGAAATGGACCAAAAAACTGCAAAATTGTCAGCAGGTCGTAATTATCGCCCGGTCCTCACGCACATTTGAATGGGGGTTACCGTACATTGCAAAAGCCAAGCAGTTTTGAATGGCCATCCAAATATATTCAATGTGTGAAGGAGTTTGCCAACTTTTGTAGACAAAATACGAAAATGTCCATTCCAGTGACTTTTTGGAGAATTCACAGGAAAGATGCACTTCTGACTATTTCATTAACGCTGATTTCGTTGAAGAATATAGTCAAATGTCTGTATCTCATATAGATGCGTTTCAGTCAAAAACCAATAATAAATGTTAATTTTTTCCCACTTCTGAGAGATTATAGGTCTTTGGGAAATATTGGTTCCAGATCTAGGAAGACCATTTAAGTGCAACATCTACCAATAAATTGGAAATGAGCAAATTAGTTTAAGTTGCTATTTTTCGAAAATTATTTTTTCTTTTATTATTTGTCACAATATCTTGTGGAATTCTTTCGAGTATCTCGCCTATATAAAATGTATCATTTATTATAGTGTTGTAGGGTATTCAACGGTCGGCCCCGCTCGACTGTAGCCTTTGCTTACTTGTTTTTTTTTTTAAATTTTATTGAATGAAAGCATAAAACGTCGGAAATAGCATCAAATTTTAGAATAAGTTTGGATTTGCTCGAATTGGTCAACTTTGGCACGAATTATGGCACTCAAACGGCCAGTGAATCCGTCACAAGCTGCCCAAATGTTGTTCTGCGGTATTTTGCCCCATTCCCAGCGAAGCGCTTGCTTGAGGTGATCGACCCTTTGTTGTTTTTTAGTGCACCTGCTTTCCAAAATACTCCAGACACAATAGTGCAACGGATTGGTATCCAAAGATTTTGGTGGCCATTGTATCACGGAAACGAGCGATGTTACGAGACACAAACGATAGCCACTTGTGGTTATCCAGCCAAATATAAAGAAATCGGACTATCACGCTTG